CGTATAAATTCATATTGTCCTTTCAAATTTTATAAATTATATTAAAATCATTTAAAATCCAATCTTATGAAATCTTGATTATAAAGAAAATATTTTAAAAAAGTCTTTAAAGCCCCTCCAATTCTAAATAGTCTTTTAAAATATATAAGATTTTTATCTCAAAAAAGTCTTTTAAAATTCTAATCCAATACATTCCCTTTATATTCTTGTAGTTTTTTTTGTTTATCATACATGTAGTTTGTAAAAAGTAAAAAATCACAGAGGCATATATACTAAAAAGTATACTCTTTTGCAAATTATAAGGGCATATGTGATGAAAAATCACAGAGATATAAGTGATTATGGAATAAATCACAGGAACGTTGGTGAACTTTTTCCTAATAATAATTACATGTTGTATTACATTATACAATTTTTTTTTTGTTTTTCATTTTTGGTAAACAACAACTTTTTTCTAATCACTTAAAAAAAGGTGTGGAACTACTCTAATTTTCTTCTTCTTTTTCTATGCATCGCGATCCACAATATTTATGTGTCTATGATATAATACGAGAAGTGTCATAAAACAATATATTCATAAAATCCATAATTTAAGGGAAAAAGTATTTATACAATTGTGGCAAAAATATTTGTCTGTCACATACAAAAAACTCTCGGGATACAATATCAAATTCTATAAAAAAAAAATTTAAAAAAATAGTGGATTCTGTTTTTGTCTCTGTGGCAGACATTACTTTTTTGCAGCTGCTACAAAAAAGTAATGCCCTATTTTAAAATTAAGAAAAATATTTTTTATTTTAAATAAAATAACTTTGTGTCATTTTAGATGAAATCACATCATTTTAGTGCATAATTGATATTTTTTATTCTCTATCCTCTATTTTCTCTTTCTTCCTAATTTTTTTTGGAGTAGAGAAGGTAAAAAATACCAAATATACACAAAACCACTTCGTTTTATTTAAAAAAGTACAAAGTTATGTCATTTAAAATGACAAATATTTTTCTCTTTAAAATTAAAGGAAAATTTTAGAATACCAAAAAAAAAAGGAAAATTTTACTTTCTAGCAAAAAAAAAGTAAAAATTTCAATTTAAATAATAAAGTAGATAATTAATGTCGTTTTTAAATATTTTATGCAACTAGTTGTGCTTAGGGGTATTCGTGGTCTGGATTGAATCAGTTTTGAAAGAAAAAATCATATGATCCAATCCTTTCGGTTTAATCATGTAATCATCCATTCGGTTTGGAATTTTTTTCAAATTCAATCCTTTCCAATTTTATTTGGTTTGGATTGTATCGGTTTTTGATTTTTTGAAAAGCCTAAGATTTATATGTTAATTATTGTGAAAATAACATATTTTTTGTATGTATCAGCTTTGTAAAGTTTGTATAATGATTATTGTGCAATCTAGAAGCATTGTTCAACAAAAAATGGAATTACCATCTTTTACCTCCAACAAAAAATTTATAATATGGTTGTCTGAGATATGAAGTAACCCAAATTGTCATCCTATAGAGGAGCTGTTATATAACAACAACCCATGTAATAAAAATATATTATGTACCTTATAAAAAAAAAGCATAACATAGATCAAGCACAATCCACTTTCTCCAACATGATGTGTTAATGGGTCTTGGATTTAAAATTTTGCTATATGATTTTTGGGTTGTGATTGGGGAAAAGCCCAAGTAGGTAGATGGTAAGGTTGGGGAATCATTGAATCGATTTGGATTGGACCGGTTTTCACCAACAAATCCAAAAACCGATCCAATCCAATAGATTTTGCGATTTTTTTTTTCTGTTTTTGATTTTCGATTAATTCAGTTTTTGATTTTTCGGTTCGATTATCGTGGTTTGAATCGGTCGATGAACACCCCTAGTTGTGCTCAAACCTGTGTAGGCAACTGGTTGCATAATAGATGCTTGCGCAATTGCCATGTGGCAAACTCTTATGAGTTGCACTTCAATTGAGGCGCAACTAGTTGCGCACCAGTTTAGTTACAACTCATTAAACCTTGCCATGTGGCACTAAGGTGAGCGAATAAATCTTTGGTACTACTGTTGTACTTAGATTAAGTGCATTTCATCAATGAGAGCATTACACATCAGAGGAGAGAGAAAAAATTTGACAGAAAAAAATAAAATTAACTGATATGTAATATTTTTATTGGTGGGATCCACTGAATCTTTAGTACAACAGTAGTACCAAAGATTTAACCTGAACTGATTTTTTTGCTTAACTAAACAGGTTCAAACCGGTTTCGGTTTCAAGAATTAAACAATTTTGTTTTATCTGAACTGATTTATTTTTCTCAGACCTATTCATGATTCAGAACCAATTTATGATTTATAGTTGGTTCTGAATCAATTCATGTATACTTTTTTTTTGGTAGATGAATCAATTCATGTATACTAATCATAATGGTCATGATAAAACCAACCAGGATTCAAAATAGTCGCAACTCTCAATAATTTTCCTTATTTTAATAAAAAATAATCAAATAAACTAAGATTCACGACGCCCTTAAATAGGTAACAAAAAAATTAATGAAAATTCTGAAACTATTTGTACAAAAATAAAAAGATAAAAAAATTGAAAAAAATTAAAAACTCAATGAAAACGACTCCGAAAGCCCAAATTAAGAATACCAAAAAAAAAATGCAGGTGCTTATTGCATACAATGAACCTTGATCAGAAGATCAATTCTAAAGGTCTAGTCAAATTAGAGTCCATTATGAAATGGTCATCCCGTGTCATTACCTATTCGGTCTCTAGCTCTCAATAGTAAATTGTATATGGGTTTTATAAGAGTTATGTTGTAGGAATAATGATTGTGTAATGTTATAGAGATTCGTTTTGCGTGCTGTAATTTCTTTATTTTTTCTTTTTTCTTCAAAAAATATGAATCCCACAAAAAATTGTGTGTGTATGAAAATTTGTTGTGTCATGTTAAATGATAAATACAAATCCATTGTATATTACATGCATGGCAAATCATCTGAGTTGCACTCAAACTTTGCTTAAATAGTTGAACCTCAGTTGATGCGCAACTCATGAAAGCTTGTCACGTAGTGCAGTTGCCCACACAACTGATGTTCAACCAATTGCGCATAGGTTTGGCAGCAACTAATTGCATTAGTTTTGTAAAAAATTTGAAAAAGACGTTAATTCTGTAATTTGTTATTTAAATTACAATTTTTAATTTTTTTTACCTGTTATGATTTGTTTTTTGTTTTGTTTTGTTTACTATTTGTATCACTTAATTTGCTTCAGCACTAAAAATATTCTTATTGTATAAAATATACAAAATATTTTAATAGATAAAATATTAAGTTATTAATAAAATATAAAAGATATCCCTAATTAAAAATAAAACTCTAAAAATAAAAAGGTGATTCATGTTTTTTATCGTTTAAATTTTGAAAGAAGAAGATGAATCATTTGTCACAACCTCTTTCATTCTGCTAGAAGAAAAAAAATTAGAGAAACACAAATATGCATATAGTAAATTAGAATGTATTTATTATATAAATATATAGAGGCCGGTTGATGATTTTGTCCTTGTTTTAAATTACTTTAAAATTTTATTTATTTCTTAAACTATATATCAATCTGTACTATTTGATTAAAGTTGACCGACACTTACTCAAATAAATTGGTTAGTTACTCCAATAAGTGATTTAATTGAATACATGATCTCTTTTCTAGAATAAATGGGGCACTTACCAAGGCTCATTTACTCGGTAAATGTTCGGTAGAGATTACGTTTTAAAACTCTTATTTATTCCAGCAAGGGATTATATCCTTCGGTCAAACTTTTTTCGCTCTTCCAGGTGCTAAAAATCATTTCACAACCATCAAAAAGTCCAAATTGATTGTGAAGCTTGATTTCCATCCCTAGTCTTTTTTTTTTATGTCACTTTTTGCATATTTTTGGGTGGGTACATGTGTGAAATTGGAACAGTGACCATTGTGCCACTGTTCTCACACAAATTTACCTAAATGCCACGCTCCTGAACTAATTTTCCAAACTGTCACGCAGGCAAGGTCGCTTGCAGCCGTAGCGAACTATGCATGATGATGTGTCAGGAAGCTGGTGGTGTTAGAGTTCGCTTCTGACACAGGCGACCTCTGTTTTTAACTAAGTTCGCCTACCACGTAGGCGACCTTCGTTTTTTTTTTTTTTTTTTTTTAAATTTGATACTTGTTATCCACTAAAAATGTGACACGTCAGCAAACCGAGTTCGCCTGTGTCAGAAGCGAACTTGTCCCCGTGGTAGATTGAGAAATAACATTGTTCGCATAGCATTTAGGTAAAAAAGTTGGTGAACAGTGACATCTTGGTCAGTTATCCTGTGAAATTTCCCTATTCCATTTGATTTTGACTCAAATTTGGTTTGGCTTTTTATCTTTCTATGATGATTGCAGACATCTAGTGACTAATTGAAGAGTACTATTCTTCCTCATGGCTGATATACATTCACATAAGCGACCAGACCGTGGAGAGAGACGTACTTATTAGAATCAATTTGATTGCCCCACTGGTTTATCCTCTAAATCAGTTGATCCCGGCAATACAGACATATCATACATTTATTTATTTTAGAACAATTAGTCCAAGACAAGTCAATTCGTCTCTAATTATCTTTCCCCGGTTATAAAAAAGAAATTACGTAGGACGTAAATGAACAGGACTAAATCATATAAATCTTGTAGCAAGTCTGGCTACAAGTATTGAAAAAACCTGTTTAAAGCTTTTGACCTACACTGTTTGTGTGTGTCGTCCTAATGTCCTATCTAGTCACTATAAAATGAAAACAATGCAAATGGATCTTATAACAATACTGAAACCTTTTTTTATATGTAACTTAAAGTTAATAAATAATTAATTCGAAATATCTATATTTATGTTTGATATAAACAGTGATATAAGTTGACAACAAAAAATGATTGAAGAACATTCAATTAAAGTTAGATTGTTCTTTCAATTAAAGTTGACAACAAAACAAGATCACTCATGAACTGCCAATAGATGAAGTACTTTTTTAAACATGCAGCACTCCACACTGGCACTTAGAATAAAACTCAAGTATTTAACTCCATTACTTAAATCAAGGAAATGATTTCCCTTCATCTCCATTTACCTACGTACTGGGAAAATTTCGGCTAAGTGCCTCAGTGAGAAGTATAGCCTCTTTTTCACTCTGACCTGTCTTCCAGACCTTGAATTCTAAGGGATAAGAGGCAGTTTCATTCCAACGTTTGAGTACAGACATTGAAAAGGGCCCTCTTATTTCTCCATAAGGACCCAAAAGGTGCCAAATAGACATCTCAGTATTCTCCACTACCTTTATTCCTTCTGAAATGTCTGCAATATTTGCATCCTGTTCATCACTGTCACTTAATTCAATAACATCTGCAGCTGAAATGCTAACTTCACGTTGTATCACTGGAATAGCTGAGATACTTGTATTCTGTTTGTCATTGACACTCGCCTCATTAGGATCAGTAACTGAAATGCTTTGCTTTTCCTTGATTGTCTGTACAGCATTCCTGGTAGCATTCAGATTTCTGCCATCTACATCAGAACCAGAATCAGTGTTCCTTGGTTGAGGCGGGCCACAATTTGCTGGATTGAAGGTCGGAGAATCCGAGTTAAATTCTTCAAAGAGTGTAGGCTTGGGATTATCATGTCTGGCTTTTGAAGTAGATTGAAGAAGATTTCTCTCAAAAGTGCCTTCATCTTGGGAAGCAGCATAGACAAACACTTGTTCAACAGAGGCAGGAATGGCAGTACCATCTTGGTTTTCCTTTACCGTAATTTTTGGACCTACGCCAGGAAAATTAACATAACGGATATTGTGAGTTACATTTCATAAACCCTCGGTACAAACATTGACTAAATTAGTGGTACATAAATTGTTCCTGGCTTAAGAAACTTTCATAAACAAAATAGAAGCAAGCAAAAGTAACTTTGACGGTGAAAGGGATACCCATCTAAAGGTAGCCTAACCTTGAAGAGAATATATTGGATTAAATAGTCTTGAGTAAAACATGAGTTTGGTCGTTAACACGCAAAATTATTGGAATTTGTAGAGGATCTCGATGAAAAGATGAGCAAGAATGTAATGTTAATTCAGAACGCACAGACAAAATCAAGAACACTACATACAGAGAAAGTTTTAAACAAAAGATAAAAGCAGAAGTTATAAGGACACAATAGATATAAAAAGAGGGAGTCAGACAGGAAAGGCTTACAAACCTGGAACATTTGTTCTACTATCCATAAAAAGAGAAAAATCACTGTGTTTAAAAACCTTCAACAGATGTACAAGTTTCTCCAATGGCTAATTCTGGCAAGCCATTTTGCTCAAGCTTACCTTTTCTTGTGGAACCCTCTGGTGACATATTGGAATCAACCATTTCAGGAATTACTTTTGGGATGTCACTTAATAAACGTGCTTGTTCCAATGGAGTCTCAAGCTTCATTTTGCAGTTCATGTACTCATAAAGTGTATGGAAATATGGTTAAGGCACAAATTGCCTGTTCACAGCTATTATAAACACCTTGAAGAGAAGAATACAAAACAAGATATAAAAAATCAAAACAATAATAACAGCTTTCAGTTCATAGTCTACAACTCCTCTTTCCTACTTGGAAGTGATTAAGTGATTGATATCCTTATCAAGCATTTTATTGGTAAAAATATATAACACTTTGACCTTTAGCTACTAATCTCAGGTAACAATTTAAGATCTATATCTTTGAAAGGATATTCTCTCCTCCGTCCATTTAGATTGGCCTGATTGATACGAATTTGTAACAATGCCAACTCCCTCGGTATCCACTTTCACAAATATCAGTAAAAAAATATGACAGGTCTGAGGTACTTTAATAGTCTAAAAGAATCAGAGTGTTCAATAATGTTAACAAGCCATTAGCAAATTGAAGTATCAGACATAACAAATTGAAGTATCAGACATAAAGGATAACAGTGGAAATTTAAGGGCAGATGTCAAAAGTTTCAGTTTGACTAATAGGTTTAGTGCCTGTTGGCATGTGCTTAAGCGAGTTTCAAAATTATAAGATTCTAAATTCTATGCATGTATCATAAATTTTGACCATTCAATTAAGGAAAATAGTAAGTGAACTTTTGTATTTGTTGAGTTCTATCTTTATAATAGCAAAAAGGATTTAGACAACACATAATATTATTATGATACATACATGCTTCATTATATCTTCATGCAAACTTCTGGCTTTCTGCTCAAGCTCCAGCTGTGAAACACAAAGAGGTGGTTGTCATCTGTTTACATTATTCTACTAATCCAATTAATTAAATTATTCAACAAATCAAACTCTTACTCATAAGAAAAACAACGCTCACATTACAAGAGAAAGCCCATACAATCAGTGTGGTCTAAAATGGCTGAAAATATATATGTTTGAAGGTCTGGACCAAAAAGTAGAACTGAAACACACACAGATATATGCCCATAAATCTATAGCAGGAGGAAGCTATTGGTATTAACGCCTCTTCCCTATGATTTACATCATATTCCATGTGACCCCTTTCCTCCCCACCACCCCCAGGTCCACTTGCCCCTTCCCTATGTCACTGACATATATTAGCTTTAATCACAAGACATTAAACATTGAGTACTAGATTGGGTGTGAAGCGAAACAACGGGCCCAAAAACCAAGCGGGAGATAGCTTCCATTGCTTTCTACAATGGGAGAAATTCGACTCTGACTTCAGAGCTCAAGAGTCAAAACATGTTTTGGCTTCTAAGTTTAGATTTAAGTTTAAAAGAAATAATGGATAGGAGATTATCTAGCTTGTGGATAGGCAGGGATTATCTAGCAAGTGAATAACATGAGTCTAAAGCTAGATTGTGAAGAAATTGATTTAATAGTATTAACTACATATTTTAATAAACTGTAGCTTCTCAAACTTGGTTCTACAGATATCTGATTTACAGCAAAGAAGCTTCATAGATGCAATACTACTACTATTCACCTTTTTATTTTTTATTTTTTATCTTTTTATCTTTTTGCTGACATTTTCCCGTTAAGCTAGCTTAATTTTGCACTACATAACAATAATTTTCTATTATGAAACTCAGAAAAGATTCACAAGGCCCTTACTCATAATTGGATCAGATCACTGAACATAAAGCTTTTTATGGTAACCACTAAATCAATCGTACACAAAAAAACTTACTACAGTAGGCTGTTTGAGCAGACCATTTCTCATCCTCTGATGCAGATCCTGACATTCTTCCTACAGATAATGCCAAATATAATTATAATTAAATCTGAATATTATTGTATATTCAAGTGTGTATAACTGTACAAGAAGGCTCTCTATTTATAGAGACTAAAAGACCTAATGGGAAGACCTAATGGGCCAAGCCCACAATCTAGACTATTCTAATAATAATAGATTAATATTATTTCTAACACTCCCCCTCAAACTGGTGTGTATATATCAAAAGCTCCCAGCTTGTTACAAATATGATCTATTCGGGAACCTCTAAGAGTTTTAGTGAATACATCCGCAAGTTGATCATTGGAATTGACAAATGCTGTCTCGATCTCCCCTGACTGGATCTTTTCTCTAACAAAATGACAGTCAATTTCTATATGCTTGGTCCTCTCATGAAAGACTGGGTTAGAGGATATATGCAAAGCGGCTTGATTGTCACAAATGAGCTTCATAGGCCGTTGTTCACAGAGATGGAGATCCTTAAGCAATTGTCTCAGCCAGATGAGCTTACAGGTTGCATTTGCCATTGCCCGATATTCTGCCTCCGCACTGGATCTGGCGACCACAGTTTGCTTCTTACTCTTCCAAGAGATCAAATTTCCTCCGAAGAGAACACAATACCCTGAGGTAGATCGTCTATCTGAAGGAGAACCTGCCCAGTCAGCATCTGAATAACTAGAGATCTCTGAACTCCCTTTATTTGTGTATAATAAACCTCTTCCTGGCGCCTTTTTAATATATCGGAGAATTCTAATAACTGCATCCCAATGGGAGTCACAGGGAGAATCAAGAAATTGACTTGCAACACTCACTGCGAAGGAGATATCTAGCCTTGTCACAGTAAGATAATTCAATTTTCCAACTAGTCGGCGGTAGCGACTAGGATCTGGCAGTGGCTCCCCCTGTCCTGGTAATAACTTAACATTGGGGTCCATAGGTGTATCAATGGGTTTACAGCCTAACATGCCAGTCTCATCTAGGATATCCAGTGCATACTTCCACTGACAGATGGAAATGCCCCGCCTAGACTGTGCAACTTCGATCCCCAAGAAATATCGAAGTCTGCCAAGATCTTTGGTCTGGAATTGATTGAATAAATGCTCTTTCAACTGATCAATCCCGGTCTGATCGCTGCCTGTAATGATAATGTCATCAACATAGACCAGGAGATAAACGCACTGGCCAGAAGAGCTATGCCGGTAAAAGACAGAATGATCGACTTTGCTTCTGATTAAGCCAAAGGATTCAACAACTGAACTAAAGCGGCTAAACCAGGCCCGAGGAGATTGCTTCAGGCCATATAAAGATTTCCGAAGTTTACATGCCATTCCAGAACTCTCCCCCTGAGCAACAAAACCTGGTGGTTGCTCCATATAAACTTCCTCCTGCAAGTCACCATGTAGAAAAGCATTCTTAATATCAAGTTAGAGAAGGGGCCAGTGATGAATGGCGGCAAGGGCAAGAAACAGGCGAACAGAAGACATCTTAGCAACAGGAGAAAAGGTATCCCCATAATCAAGACCAAAGATCTGTGTGTATCCCTTGGCCACTAAGCGAGCTTTAAGGCGATCAACAGTGCCATCAGGACCAACTTTAACTGTGAACACCCATCGACAACCAACAATAGACTTCCCGGGAGGAGCACGAACAAGACCCCAAGTGCCATTGGAGTGAAGTGCCTGCATTTCATCAAGCATCGCCTGGCGCCACCCTGGATGAGATAGTGCTTCACCTGTGGTTTTAGGGATGGAAACAGAAGAGAGACTAGAAACAAAAGTAAAATGTTGTGAAGAAAGTCTGTCATAACTCAAGAAAGAATAAAGGGGATGAGGATTTCGAGTGGATCGAATACCTTTCCGAAGGGCAATGGGAGGAGTCTATGATGGAGGATCCGGAGGAGAAGAGCCGACGGAAAAGGGCGATGAGTCATCAAGAGGCAATTTGGTATCAGAGCTCTCGATCCGAGGGCTCTGCTTCCGCATATATATCTTTTCCTTTCTTATTTACTGCCGTGCATCATACTGGCAAACCCTTTTACCGCCGTGCATCATACCGGCAACCTTTTTCAACCCTCCGAACATTGTTAGACCCTTTTTCGATCTCAGATCGTCATCCTCCTTCATTATTTGACCGGAAAACACTGTTCACATCGCCAGAAACACTGTTCTGTCACTGTTCATCACTGTTCCGGCCACTTTTCCGGCGAGAAACCACGCGATCACGCCGGCGACCGTTTCTGTCCAAGACTCGTCCCAAACGGCCGCAGCACGCGCCTCCACGCACCACCATAGCCGTCTGCGCGTAGGCCTCATACGCCACCTCTCTCCGGCGCGTGTGCACTGTTCCGGCCATCTTTTCCGGCCAAACCAAGGCAGACAGGCTCGCCTCTGCCTCCTCCTTCCAGATCCAGTGCCCGTTCGTTGTGGGTCTCTTTCGTTCGGGGGTTTCCAGTGCAAAAGTTGCTACTTTGTTCCTTTTTAGCGTGACTTTTACCGTTTTTTGGTCGTCTGATCGCTGTTTCTGAAGGAAGGAACCAGTAAACATCCTTCCGGCATCATTTCAAGTGTTATTCCATCTATCACAACTCTGAAATTGACCGGATCTGCTACTTACAAGACCTGGTCTACCTCCGTTAAGATCTGGTTTACTGGTCAAGGCCATGACAAACATCTCACCACTAAGAAGACTGATATTTCCAAAGATCAGACGTCTGAATCGGAGAAAGTTGATGCTCAGCTCCTCAGTATTCTTTGTCAATCCATTGATTCATCTCTTCTCAATATTTTCATTCCCTTTGAGACCTGCTATGATGTGTGGACGGAAGCCAAAAACCTCTACACCAATGATATTCAGCAACTTTATTCCATTGTCTCCCAGATGATGTGTAACAGCCCCAAACCCTGTAGCATGATATTGTCCGCTTTGCCCTGCGCACAAGCACCGTCGAGCTCACGATTTTGTTTCTTGGGACACCCCACAAAAGGCCTCACACTAGAAGAGGTATCCACATTCTTATAAGGCATGCTTCGTTCCCCTCTCCAACCGATGTGCGACATTACATCCTCCCCCACTGGGAATACAACGTCCCCGCTGTACACACCGGTCCAGGGCCAGGCTCTGATACCAAATGTAACAGCCCCAAACCCTGTAGCATGATATTGTCCGCTTTGCCCCGCGCACAAGCACCGTCGAGCTCACGGTTTTGTTTCTTGGGACACCCCACAAAAGGCCTCACACTAGAAGAGGTATCCACACCCTTATAAGGCATGCTTCGTTCCCCTCTCCAACCGATGTGCGATATTACATGATGGATTTACGCAAATCATTCGAAGCTCGTATAGAAGTTTATGTTGGTAAGATTCGTTCTTTGATGCAGGAATTTTTGGCTATGTTACCTCATGCTGCGGATGCTACAGTGTACAGGACACAAGTGGAGCGTCTCTTTACGGTTATGAATCTCTCTGGTCTCCCTGACGGATTAGAAAGTGTTCGTGAGAACATTCTAACCAGTACTGAGATTCCCAGCATATCCCAGACCTTTCAGCGCCTTCGGAATCTTCAAGATAAGATGGCCCCCGCACACGTGCCAGCTACTGACTCTACTGCCCTCTTGTCTGATTCTGCTGCTTTAATCTCTCGTGGTAATTGGAACAATGGTGGACGCGGTCGTGGTCGTGGCCGCGGACAAGGCGGTCGCGGGCCCATGACATCATATGGCCCAGGCGGGCGCGGACAGACAACGTACTATGGACAGGGTGGCCGAGGACAAAGGCCTCGGTGTAATTATTGCCAAAATCTGGGCCACAATGAAGAACGTTGCTAAAGAAAGTACCCTCACTTGAAGCCACCACATATGAACTTTGCTCAAACAGATGTTGTGCCGCCCTCTACCGGATCAGTGACTATTTCCGCTGCAGACTATGAGGCCCTTCTCCAGAAGAGTTCTTCTCAGCCACCTGCTCCAGATACTGGTAATCATGTTGCTTGTTTTTTCTCAATCGTTTCTTGGACCCTGGATAATAGACTCAGGTGCTACTGATCATCTTTGTGGTAATAAGGATCTCTTTACTTCCCTTACCTTTTCTAATAATCTTCCCTCTGTTACTCTTGTTGATGGCACCAAGGCTCCTGCTCGTGGCATTGGGCAAGCCAAACCAACTCCCTTCTTGACTTTAACCTCTGTTTATTACATCCCTGGCATTCCTTTTAATTTAATTTCTGTTAGTCAATTGACCCTGTAAAGAACCTTGTGATACACCACCCCAAAAGCTAGCTCAAAGGGTGGGAGTGCCCAAGGCCTTATAAAGGCCACATTGGTTGCACATACAACCAATGTGGGACTATATATCTCAACACGCCCCCTCACACAAGAGCCTATTGGGCTTGAAGAGTGGACAATGCAACAGGCCCACCTACCTGAGCTAAGAAACGCCACAAGAGAAAGTGGGGGGCGGCGAGGCTCTGATACCATGTAAAGAACCAATTCAACCCAAAAGCTTAAGCTATTGGGTGAGGCCACATTAATGGTTTTATATATCTCAACACGCCCCCTCACACGAAAGCCCATTGGGCTTGAAGGGTGAACAATGCAACAGGCCCAACCTACCTGTGCTAAGAAACTCCACAAGAGAAAGTGGGGGACGGCGAGGCTTTGATACCATGTTAAGAACCTTGAGGTCACCACCCCAAAAGCTAGCTCAAAGGGTGGGAGTGCCCAAGGCCTTATAAAGGCCACATTGGTTGCACATACAACCAATGTGGGACTATATATCTCAACACGCCCCCTCACACGAGAGCCCATTGGGCTTGAAGAGTGGACAATGCAATAGGCCCAGCTTACCTGTGCTAAGAAACTCCACAAGAGAAAGTGGGGGGCGGCGAGGCTCTGATACCATGTAAAGAACTTTGTGATAGACTCATTCTCTTTCTTGCTCTGATACCAAATTAAATCTGAATATTATTGTATATTCAAGTGTGTATAACTGTACAAGAACGCTCTCTATTTATAGAGACTAAAAGACCTAATGGGAAGACCTAATGGGCCAAGCCCACAATCTAGACTATTCTAATAATAATAGATTAATATTATTTCTAACAATTATGAATCCATAGAAAATATACATTAACAACTAGGATCAGTGTAGACTCTGCAGCTGGATCCTGAAAGCTAGGCATAATTTCCTTAAAGAATAAAATGGATACACAGACCATATATTAGAGATAAGTATAAACTCTGACAAGTATAAACCATGGTCACCTCAAAAACCCATATAATCAACTTTCAACAACTTACAGAAAAGATGATGTAGAAACATGAATTTTTCAATTTTACTTAGAAACCGTTACTTATTTGGCTCCAGTGTCTCTAGAAATGTGGAAAAATTGCAGCCGAAAATCCTGTTACAACACTATGAATACCTCAGAAAAGTCATCTTCTGAAATTTTGCAGATAGGTACATCTTTCGGCACATTAGAAAGCTGAAGCAGAATTTCTTTGTTGATTTCATCAATCTTTGAAGATCTGTTTATTCCTGTGATTGATGCGGATACAGAATGCCAATGCATGCATATCAGAAATGTTAGCTAGTAAAAGAACATCACTCCTGTTGACCTTCAACAGCAATGTACTATGCCACTAAAGAACAAACATTCTACTCAAAGCTTTTGATTTTATACTTCATTTTTCTTTTTCAGATATGTGCCTTGCATACAATGTATGACTTATTTTTGTATAATATTCTTTTTCTTCCAACTGACGTTAAGTACTGCCAAAATTACATGCATGATCCACTAATTCTTTTAAAAATTCTTTAATGGTATAAAATCCTGAAGCCCAAGATAAAATTACCATGTGCTTAGCCAAATTGAGGTCTTAAATCACACAAATATGAAAGCATTGATATTTTTCAAAGGAAGAAAAGTGGTTTGAGGGCAAGCCTGGAACAATGGTAGTATTGCTCCAACGGATCAAAATTTTAAAAGCAGTTAGTATATATAATTAAACCATTTGACACAATATGCATTCTTTACAATATCTTCAAAATTTTATTTTATTACAAATTATTTGTTTTAAATTTAATAGCTACTGTTCTTTAATAACTACCTCAATGCTGATGAGGTAAAACAAGGATATCATGTTACTAAAAGATGCAACAGACTTAGTACAGAATAAGACTTAAATGCTTGCATAGAACCTATGACAGCATTTTAGAAATAAGATCATCAAACAATGACACTATCAGTACTTGGTAGTGTACTTGAATATCTTTTGTTGAAGTCATAGAGGTTTAGGTAGGGAAGGAGGAAATGAGAGGAAAGAGATACAAATAAAATTATATTGATAATGATGTGAAGGATATTTTACAAAAGACAAGCACTAACCCCTATTTATACTAATACTAGACTTCTGACCTTAATTAATTAAAAAATTAAATCATGAAATCTAAGGAAATATAAACCAGTGGCAGTATACAGCCTGACAGTATCTGGGATTAGAGATAGGGCCATACTACATTTAGAACTGGGGACAGGGCCACTGAATGCAAGACCAGAGACAGAGGCTAGACTGCATATAGGACCGGGGGCAGATGCCAAACTGTATCGATTACTGGAGGCGGTGTGAATGAAGCCTGTGGCAATAGAGGATGAAACTGATCTAATCTACGAAAAGACAGGCTAAAACGAAGCCAATCTAGAGAGAGACATTGAAAAGACAGCAACAACGAAAGAAAAATGATGGACCCCCAATTCGGGTATATTCACGCAGGAGAAGGAGAAATGGAGTCAGGAAAGCCCAACTTCAACCTAATCAGCCCAAGAGCAATGGAGAGATAAATCAGCAAGGGCCCAAAGGGGAAGTTAATCATCAACAGGCCCATGGAAAGAGTAACCCGCAATTGGAAGACCACGTGGAGAGTGTTAGAATGAACAACAAAGGAAAGGAGGCAAGGAAAAAAGAAAAAGAGGAGTTTGTTAGACGGATGGACACGTGGATGGCTCTGAATGGCGAGGAGAGTGTGGGTGGAATGCAAGAAAATAATCAGTTATAAAGGAGTGGGAAGGAACGTGAAAGGCATCAGAAAACGTATTATCAAAGGAGAAAGGTGTAGCTCGATAAGGTGGTGGATTGCCTTGTTGACGGGGTTTTTCATTATTGTTAGCATTTCAATAGTGTCAGTAGTATGGGAGTCGTAACTTGTATGTCTGTAATGCATTCTGCAGTAGTTGGTTGCTGCATATGGAGTCTGTATTAGGAAGAAGAAGTAATGTGTCTTGAGTTGATTTCCTTGTTAGCATTGAGTCTGTAATGGAGTATTTCCGATTATGCATTTCAATTAACAGAAGTAATTTCATGTTATTTCGCTGTGATTCTTTACTGTTGTCTTGTGGGGTGCCATCAAAACACAAGAGCAAGAGACTAAAAACTCAATACGGAAAAAGTCACAAGGGACAGATTGGGAGCAAATAAAAGCACAAATATGGGTTTAGGGGTTATCGAGTCCATGAGCTCAACACAAAGGAAAAGGAAGGGAGAAATTATTCTCAAGGTGGATACATGGCTCTAATACCATGTTGAAATTATAGGAATTTGGTAGGGTAGAAGGAATAGAATGGAAAGAGAAACTCAGACTAATAAAATTATATTGATATTGGTGTGAAGGATATGTTACAAAAAAACAAACTCAAATCCCTGTTTATACTGTAAAGAACCAATTCAACCCAAAAGCTTTGGATAAGGGCCTTTCTAATGATTTATATTATACTCTAACACGCCCCCTCACACGAAATTTCACTGGGCTTGAAGGGTAGACAATGCACAGGTCCACCTACTTTTGCTAAGAAAATTCCACAAGAGAAAGTGGGGGCAGTGAAGATCGAACTCGGGACACGAGGCTCTGATATCATGTAAACAAACAATTCAACCCAAAAGCTTAAGCTATTGTATGAGGACTTTTTTAATGATTTATATTATACTCTAACATATATACTAATACTAGATTCCTGAGCCTAAATGAATAAGGAAACAAAACATTAAATCTAAGGAAATTCGAAAACCAATCCTAAAAGATCATCCAAGATACTCTAAGATATTGTATGATAGAATAGTGATATTATGAGATAATAGCTCTTACACAGCAAAATCAGCTAATATACTTACGTAAAAAAAAATTGTATGGTTGACTTTTTATGACTGGTAACTTCTAGCCATCACAAAGACTTACCTATTACTTGTGAGAGCAGGTAGGAATTCTTCTGTAAATAGTCATACGGGTCAGATTTTATTCTTACAAAACTTCCCAACACTTTGTCATCAAAAGTTTCTGGTTGCTTCAAAAGCTCCTCCACTAAACTCCTCTTTAAGTAGACAAGCTTGATGTTTGAACTAACTATGGCTGCAAAACAGTTTTGACACTCTTCAGAAAATAGGTTCTGATGAGATGTTGTATTTGAGATCAGGTTTCTCTGCCTTGAAAATTTGAATGGCTCATTATCATCCCTATATTCCGAACTACTATTGATATCATCCATTTTCTCAAAATTCTCGGCAAAATGTGGTGCCAGAAATTTTTGCATGTTGTTTCTATTCACTGATTTCCTCCCTAGTAAAGACCTTAGTAGTGGATCACAAAGTATCTTTCTTTTTTTCTTGGGGTCAAAAAGTTTGTTTTCTTTGCAGTACTCAATAATGATTGAAGCAACATCAAGTTCAGAAAATTCTGTGCTAGTGTCTCTACCAACATGTTTAAGAAATTCTATGAGACTTCTTGAACCCCATCCAATAAACTCCTTTTTCTTATCTTTCACCTTTCCTTTCAGTGATTTTAGCTTTGCCATGCACTTCTTCTTTTTCCTCATTGATTTAACTTCTGTTGTGTCATTCAGGTCATCATAATCAGAAATTATAAAGTTACTTTCATCTTCAGATTCTTCAGGATCATCTTCCCTTTCATCTAGATCCAAGTCACACTTGTTTTTACCATTCTTAAAGAAGCTATGAGCGCAATATACATGTTCAAAATTCAGCCCTTCTTTTCGTTTGATAACTTCATAATATTCTGAAAATAAGCCTTCATATGTATCTCGATCTTTGAAATCAATCTTTACCTGTTAATAAAAAAACATGTAAGAATAAAGATGTATAAAGAAAAAGAAAATTGTTCTACGGGGCACAAATAAAGAGGTAAACTTTCCCTACTCAATTCCATGTTTCCAACCAAGAAATAATAAATTAAAAAAAAAAAAAATTAAGCTCAATGAGAAAAATATTGCATTTGCTTATAGTTTATGTCGAAAAATTATACAACTCGACTTACACTGAAACTTTATTCAGTCATGTGAAGCTATCCATTCATCAGAATCCATTAAGCATTCAAAATTTAAAAACTATATTTTTGCAATCATTATGATTTCTTAGTTAAAATAGAATAGAAGTCTAACTCTTTTCTACAAAATGTAAGATTTTAAAAATGTAAGATTTTATTTGCTAAATCTCATTTCATATAAGTGAGAGGAATGCAAAATTTATAGTGCCAATTTCGTACGGTCAGTGTTTCGAAAAACAATTTTGACCTTTAAGAAAAATAATAGATACAAATCTGTTTGAGAATGTGTTTCCAGGTTTCTCTTTCAAAAAATAAATAGAATAAGTTTAAAAAACATTTAAACAGAAACACTTTTAAGATGTTTCCAAAACAGGTAAAAACACAGAAAGAGCGTCTCTGTGTTATTATTATTGCCCTAACATAACAATCCTGCATAGTTTTAATTGGCAATTCTTCCCACTAACGTTGGTAATTATGTCAAAAAAATTGAATTTGTCAATATACATAAATATTCCCTTTTATTGATTTATTTATATTTTCTCTATTTATTTTTCTTTTCTTTCCTTTTATTTTATTTTATTTTCTCTCTTATCTATCTTTATTTTCACTATATTTTTATTCTTTTTTTATATTTATATTTTTAAATTTAAATTTAATTTCTAATTTTAAAATTTTAATTAATTTATTTATTTTTCCCCTTCTTTTGCTTTGCTTCTATCTTTTCATTTGGGTTCATTGACAACCGCCCCAACTACATCAACATCAACATCAACAACACCTTTATCCCAAATTAATTGGGCAACCGCCCCAACTAATTTGGAATAAAAGTGTTGTTGATGTTGTAAATATACATAAATAGTAAACATATAGCAATTAGTTATTTTGTTTTTAAATTTAGGATTCCAAATACTGTTTCTCTTGCTGCATGTAACACATGATTGAAAAGAATCTTACCCCATCAGAATCAACATCAGCATTTTCTTCAATTAGAAATGCAAGTTTTGAGCAGTGTCTGCAAAGACCTTTGTTCCCCTTGACAAAAACAACTTCAGCATCATAATAGCAACTCCCACAAACAGCAGTTGGGCAGCAAAAGCACTTAAACTTTGGGGCTTTACGGCAAAGGAAGCAAAAATGTAAAGCTGCAAAAGAACTTATTCAAAATTCATTCAATATCAAATGGATTAAAAGACATTCAGGCATAACCTCTTAAACACGAACAGACATAGGAAACTGAAAAAAGCAAAAGAAAAAAAATACACTTAAACATGACAACCAACACACGTTCTAAATTTTCTACAAGGCTGCCAATTTCAGCATGGAGTTATACCACTTTGCCAAGAAAATATAAATTGGCCACATAAAATCTCTTAGAGCTGAAGAGAAATAAAACACCAACTTTTTAAGTATTTTTGAGATAATTAAGATATGCAGGCTAAAGATTATGAAGAGTGTTTGAGACAGAAACTTAGGCATCTATGCATATTTCCCAAAAAAATATAAGATGGGAATCACATGTCATGGTGGTATTAGCTGCATAAATATATAGCATGCCAAGAAAAGAAAAAGAAATGTATTTGAATGCCTTGCAATAATGGTAGAGAGATAGGTTGAAGCAGCTTACGACAAATCCAACGACTGCCATTCTCCAAAAGGGAATCATCTTCTCTCACACATGAAGGATGATACGCTTTAAGGCAATCCCTGTGAGCAACATGAGTTAATTAACTACCAAAAAGAAAGTCACTTCCAGGACTAATTATATCTTTGTAGAATGATCCAAATCCAGATCCATCATTACTTTGACAAGCATACACCGTGATACCGAATGGCCAAAATTCTACCAACAAAAAATATATAAAACCTAAAGTACCACTAACTTCTTTGTTAAAGCTACCTCACAATTTTCCATTGAATTTGTAAGGCCAAACACATACTATAAATTAGGAAACAAGTATGGAATGACTGCTACATTTGTAAAAGCTGCAAACAAGCACAGGTCAAAATTTATGCACATACCTCACCTTTTTCAAAAAGAAATATATGTTCAGACTTAAAATATGTATATATATATATATATATATATATATATATATATATAAGTAAAAAGTCAGAATGTTATCTAGTAAATAAAAATACCAAAGCTTATATATTTGAGGATTTTGAGCCTAAAAATATATTAAGAAAGTGCATGTTTTCTTTTAATATAGATTAGCCTGTGACTAACAAGGAAGAAAGAAACTCAGTTTAGCATATCAAAATTTTATTTTAGGAATTCACTTCACATTAATCTCAACTGCATCATGGGAGCAAGCACCTCCTTCTGGCCCTTGAAGCTGACTCCACTTGAATTTATATATGATATAATAAACATGAAACCTGGGGCATCATCCCCACAAATTTCTAATGGAAGAGCAAAAAACAAAGTGGAAACTTGAAAGCAAGTTTACAGGGCAAATAACTAGGACAAGCTATGATACATGGATACTAACCCTAAACAGATACCAAACTTGCCATACCCTACCAGACATGTATCCAGTACCGGTACTTATTGGATACATGGGTATGAACCCAATACTCACTTATCGCTCAAGTACAAGCCAGTCCATACCAAGTTTAATAACTAAGTAGTTCGATTTGCTACCAAATGAAACAAACTGCTACTTCACTCCATTCAAAACTTCTGCCTTCTTTAAATATTTTTGCTTACTTACATTAGAACATTATGAAAATTATAATTATCTTATGATTTAATTACTTTATTGTTTATGCTTTTATATTTCTATATAATATATCGGTATCCTGCTGTACATTTACCCTAGTTGTAGGGTATCCTGTACCTGTACCGGTATAGGTACCCGTACCTGTATCCATGCAACTTGGGGATAAGTTGGTTGATAATGATATCAGATGACCCATATATTTTTAGCCAACTTAATGTTCCCTATTCTTTAAGCACGGAAATGACCATTGCTGTTGGTGAACCTTTGCGATTGAAACCATGCACAGAGGAAATGTGCTCAATTACGATTATTAATTCTCATTTTATAAAATTAAAATAGCATGTACTTATGTTTCAGAACATACCTGAAATCGCATAACCTCATCAACCCTCCATCCTTGCACACACAACACCAATCCTCAGCAATCTCTTCCTTCCTTCTTCTTTTTTTCTTTCTCACCATCTTGCTTTAGAAAAAATAATTAACCACACCTTTACAGAGCCTCCTACAGTCCAACCCTACTCTGTTGAAGGTTCTCTTAAACAACTCTGCCCAATGTAGTTGAAGAAAACCAAAATCAGGAAAAATATCAAGGACCTATTTGCCAGAACAAAAATGCATTACACTAAAACCTTAAAAAAAATAAATGAAATGGATAGCTGGGAAAATGCACTACACTAAGACCTTAAAAAATAAAATAAAATTAAAACTAGGAGAGGAGAATTTAACAGAAGAACAATCACCAGGTCAGTTGAAGTTTCAATCTTTAAGAGACCTGTAAATGTATATAGATGCCCTTAATAATGGGCATAGGTTATCAAAATGACAAGAGAGCACAACATAGGATACCCTTTGAGAGGAGAAGATTTTGTTTGGTGTGTTACCAAACGCAGAAGGGAGATGGGAAATTGAGTTCAAGTTCTTTGGGCACCAGAAAAGGCAAGGGAATTGGTGGAGGGAATAAATATCTTTTTCACTTTTATATTTTTAGAAAAAAGACCACCCGCTATTAATTTTCAATTTAAGAGGTAATATTTTCCTATTAAGGTCTATCTATATTATAGGGGCATCCTTTCCCTATATTGTAAACCCTATTGGTATAGTCCTAATAATTATAGTTGATGTACAACCTACGATTATAGTTTATAATAAAAAATTAATGAAGGTTTACACAGAAGATTTAAATTCAAGGCTACACTGAGTGTTGTATCCTTGAGCTACTAACCTTGCCTTGTTTCTCACAACTTTTCCACCTTCAATTAGTTTGCTTTAAACACCTCATCTTGTATCAATCACATACAGATTGATTCTTAGGTGCAGGGACAAGGGTCCAAACTAGGTGCTTATCAAACTGACTCAACTCTTCTTGGATATGCATCTTCTTCAAGTGCTTCCTCAATTTATTTTAGTACTACTTAAGAAATGAGAGTTGGCATGTTATAGTCTTTTCAAAAGGACGATATGGTTCTAACCTCAGCTGAAGATGAGAAAAATGTAGTCTCCAGTCCTTCAGTAGTTGAGAAGGATGATGAGAAGAATCTTAAGAAGGCTCACTCTTCTCACTTTTTAAGTTGGTCTTCTGTCTTTGTCAACCTCAAAAGCGAGGCAAGATGATTCCAAGGCTACACTAAGTGTAACCTGGAGATCATCTTGTCTCACTTTTGAGGTAGATTGAAGCAGCTTTCTTTGAGAAGTTTCTTCATCTTCGGAAGCAGTATAGACAAACCGTTGTTCAAAAAAAGGCAGGAAAGGATGTACCATCTTGGTTTTCCTTTGCAGTTGCTTTTGGACCTAAGCCCTGAAAATTAACACAACGGATGTTGTGAGTTACATTTCATAAACACTTGGTACAAACAATAACTAAATTAAAAAAAAAAAAAACCACTCTCCATTAAATTCGACTAATGAGTGTGGGGTGAAGGTAACGTAGTCTTACCCTTGCATAATTGTAAAGAGATTGTTTCCTAGATTTTAACTCATGACTTTTTAATCATGAAAAAAACAGTTTTACTACTGCTCTGGTTCGTCGTCTTTAAACAATAACTAAATTAGTGGCACATAAATTGTTCCTGGATTAAGAAACTTTCAGAAACAAAATAGAAGCAACCAAAAGTCACTTTGAAGAGAAAATATTGGATTAAATACAGCAAAGAAATAAAAAAAAATGTGACAAAACACACATTAAATTATAATTAATCTAAGTGACCCTAGTTTGAGTAAAACATGGATTTCGTTGTTTGAAACAGAAAATTACTCGAATTTGTAGAGTATCATGATGAAATGACAAATCACAGCATGAACAAAAATAGAAAGTCAATACAGAAGAGAGAGGCAACATCAAGTACCCTTTATACAGATAAAATTGAAAACCAAAAAAAAAAAAAAAAAAGGTGGAAATTATAAGGACACAATAGATTAAAAAAAACAGAGAGTGTAATAAGAGTGGAATGGGTGGCAAACCTGCAACGCGTGCTGTATTAATCAGGAAACCACTAATGTGTTTGAAAAAAGGTCCAAGAGAGTAACAGCGGTGTCTCGAATGGCTAATTGTGGCAACAAGCCAGTGTGGTCAAGTTTATCTTTTCTTGGGGAACCCTTCGGTGACATATTTTGTTAGGTGAGTGTTACCGAATGCAGAAGAGTAAGAAATATTTGAGTTCAGATTTTCAGGGCACTAAATATAGCAAGGGAATTGATGGAGGGAATAAATATTATTTTCAATTTTTACTTTTACTTTTTACTTTTTTTCTTTTTTCTTTTTTCTTTTTTTCTTTTTTTCTTTTTTAGAAAAAAGGAACCACCCAGTGTTAAAGGGATGATTTTCCTTTTAAGGTCATATATTTAAACCCGATTGATAAACTGCCAATAATTTGAGGGTCGGCTTTGTTGTACATGAATAATATGATAACACAGTTGGGTAAAAGTAGAAAACGATATGGATTTGATACATGTGTACTAGATGAACAATATGATAGGATGATATTATTTTATTGGGTGTTTGAGATAAATCATGATATAATATAAGATAAAAATACTTTTTATATATATATGGAGGGCAAAAGCCCAAAATCAAAAATTACATGGACAATTTGATATCAACGTTCGGTCTTCAGCGAGTAAAACACCAAGACTGAAGGGAATATTATGAAAAACATGTAATCCTAAAGAAGATTGAAGTCCATATTTAGCTATTCAATGTGCACTAACATTTTTAAAAACGATAGAACTTCATTTCATTTTTAATTTTTTTTACTTATTTACACATTGGTTCTTATTTTAAATTATTAAAAAAAATTAAAAATAAAATTTTTAAATAAAATATATAAATAACTTATAAAACATTTTAAAATAAAAATATATATCGTTACCAAATAAATTTTTAAAAATTAAGTTTTAAATTATTTATCAATATTGGAAGCCAATGACTAATGATAATATAGTAATGAGTTGTGGTGACGATATCAGATATGACTGGTGATAAATGTGGTGGCTGATTGAAGGCAATGCTGGTAGTGGCGATAATGGTTGGTGATTGGGGCAACGAAAGCCCTAAATAGTGGCTAGTTGGTGGTGGTGGCACCACCAGCGATGACCAATGACAATTATGATGGCTGATTGTATGGTGGTGGTGGTGGTAGCCAATGACACAATAATGGTGGTGGTTAGTGCAGTGGTAGCCAGTGAGAGTGGTGGTGGTGACCGGTTGCAATGGTGGAGTTGATAGATAATGGTGGTGGTTGGTGTCTTATAGTTGGGGTGGGGGTGGCTAATAGTTCATAGTGATATCTAGTGCCTAGGTGATGGCTAATGGTGGTGGTAGTGGGTAGTGGAGGTGGTCGATGGCCAACAGCGACGGTTGACCAGTGACAAGGGATGACTATCAACTATCTAGCAAAGTTCAAATGAGAAGAGTATAAGGCTACATTTGGATGAGAATGATCTCTCATTTGCAACCCTATCATATATATTCCTAACATAAGTCCACTCTTATGATAACTTATCATGTCGCGGACAAGATAAAATAGAGGAACATAATAAGTATATCATATCATATTGGTTTGCCAAATAATTGATAAGAGTTGGATATGATGATTTATACTATCATGTCCTCTCTTTTGTGACCACCAAATATATGCAAGGGTATAAATTTAATGGACTAGACTAGACTTTGGCCTAAATTAGCTAACATACTTATGTAAAATATTTTAAATCCCACATGCCCAATTAGCATGATGTAAGCTAAATTATAAGTCTGATTTCACCTATATTTAAAATCAAAATGTTTGGCTTAAGTCTATTAGTTTATCTAAGTCTACCAGGCATTCAACATCTATCAAGAATTATAAAATATAATAAAATTATTTTACTATTTAAAATTATTTAAATAATAATTTATTTAAAATAAACAATATAATATAAATCGACATGTATGCGTATAGGTCAGATCTTGTGAAAGTAGGCATATAACCTATTCTCTAAATAGGCTTTTTTAGGTCTAAACAATATTTACTCTACTAAATATACTAAGGCCGGATCAAGCCCGACACAGGTCAAGTCGTAAACCTTTGATTATTATCTAACTTATTTACATCCCTAGTGGGCACATCTCATTGAACCTTATCCTTATGCTAGTCGTGTGTATGGTTTGATTCTCTCATTTTTCTCTTGGGTAGATAATATGTAATCATACCATGAATCTTCGTTGAAGTTAGTGACCTTCCCTGGCCTTGCAAGATACGTGCCTTCCCCTTATTGAGATTTGAGATAGGTGGTTGTCCTTAACTTTGCAAGAAGGTAATGAATTTTATTTTTGAGAGTCACAAGTTTTTTTTGGATAACAAAGGAAAATTACAAAGCAACAAACTACACAGCAGCAGTCCTGGGCAACGTAGAGCCCCTACAATCCTCTAAACAAAGATCCCTACAGCCTTCCGGAGGAGAGCTGAACCAGTGAATATCCCAGTCAGTATCAACCCTGAGTTTAGCCATCCAATCAGCCACTCGGTTGCCTTCTCTGTATGTATGTAAAATATTTACCTGCCAATGACGGTTAAGAAGTTCCTTAATTCTATTCACAAGAGAATAACAGGGATGGGTATTAATACACCCTTCCACAATCAACTGATTAGCCACCAAAGAGTCTCCATCCAAGATAATACATTTGTACTGCTGATGCCAAGCCCACTCCAGACCAATAACACAGCCCCACAATTCCGCCATAAGCACAGTACCATGACCCAGATTTTTGTTGAAACCCTGCATCCAATTCCCATAGGTATCTCTCATAACTCCACCACAAGCCAAATTCGAACCATTATTTCTACAAGGTCCGTCAATATTAATTTTGGTCCAACCCTCCATGGGAGCCTTCCAGTGAATCCAAACCTCCTCCATAGGATCCACAGTTAAACCAGAGGAAATCAGAATTTCATTAGAACTTTCAATATTTAAAATGCTAATAGAAACCTGATTGAAGAATTCCTGGGGACTAAGCCCTTTGCCTTCAAAAATGAGATTGTTTCTGTCTTTCCAACACTGCCAACAGATCACTCCAAATCTCAGCTGCCATCTTTTATTGTACTCCCTAAAATTGAGGTTCCAATTCAGCCAATTGTCTACATCATTTCTGTAGAAATTTACCTGCCTTCTACTATCAATCCAGTGGTTCCAAACTTCCCTCGTCCATCTACACTTCCTGAAGATATGATCTCTATCTTCAATACGATCATGACATCTAGGACATCTGGCATTATCAGACATGTGCCTTCTATTTCTCTCAGCATTGGTGAGGAGTTTGTTACTAAAAAGGAGCCATAGGAAGAGTTTAATCCTCTGGGTACCCTCCCATCTCCACACTAAGTTCCAATCTTTAGACTGAGGATCATTATGAGGGGGAATCAAGGAGGCATAAGCTGAACTAACAGAGAACAAACCCGATGGAGAATGTCTCCAAATAACTTTGTCATTACCACCATCTTCAGTGGGGGGAGGGATACCTGCTATAACATGCAAAATCTCTTCAAACAAGTATTGACCCAATATGCTCCAGTTCCAATTTCCCTCAACTGAGATGCAATCTGTAACCTTCCAATTTATAGCCTCTTCAAGAATTTCTAACACAGCCTTATCAATTAGCTTGCCAACCCTTGGGTCCTTACAGAACTCTGTGCTCCTACCATCGCCAAGAAGGATTAAGGATCCAGCTTGGACATGCTCCCACACCTGTTGGATACCTCTCCAAGTATTAGAAACATTTTTGGCAGCAGAGATGTTAGGAATCATGTCATCCCCAACCTTATACTTAGATTTAAGTACTTTCACCCAAAGATTATCAGCATTGTTAAGAATATCAAAGCCTAACTTCATAGAAATAGCTTTGTTAATCAGAACTTGGTCTCTAAGACCCAGACCCCCATTCATCTTAGGTTTGCAGACTTTAGACCAACTAACAAAGTGAGTTTTCTTCTGGTGTTGGCATGAGCCCCAAATAAAGCTTCTAGTAAGCTTCTCCACTTCCCTGCAAACTCCAACAGGAACGATAGCAGATTGCATTGTGTAGGCAGGTAAGGCTTCAAGGACAGCTTTGGCTAGAGTAGTTCTACCAGCCAAAGAGAAAGAGTTTAGATTCCAAGAGGAAAGTCTCTTCTACATTCTATCTATAACATGACCAAAAGAGCTTTTGGAAACTCTTCTATGGTGTAGTGGAACTCCCAAGTACTTACCCAGATCAGCTGTGACAGTGAATCCCAAGCAGTCACTAATTTCTTTAGCTTTGCCAAAGCTGACATTCTTAGAGAAAAAGACTCTAGTTTTCTCATTACCCACCTTCTGACTCGAAGCATCAGAGAAGATTTTCAAGACTTGATTGATCATATAAGCTTGCTCCATACTAGCCTCAGCACACAGAATTATGTCATTTGCAAAAAATAAATGAGATAAAGGGGGAGCCTTCTTATTTAACAAAACTGGCTTCCAAGCTTTCACATCCACTGTCATTTGAATGAGATGAGCCAGTCTCTCCATACAAAGAACAAACAGATAGGGGGAGATGGGATCCCCCTGTCTAATTCATCTTTCAGGTATAATCTCTTTAGTAGCAACCCCATTCCATAAAAGCTTGAAAGAGGCTGTAGATATGCAACTGGAAATAAGGCTGCATAGGGAATTAGGGAAGCCAATGTCTCTGATTTTTTCCCTCACAAAAATCCAGCTCAACCTATCATAGGCTTTTTGCAAGTTAACTTTAATCATCATCCAACCCTTCCTAACTTTTCTTCTCCTCATTGAGTGGAGGACTTCCTGAGCTATTATTATATTGTCAGTACTCTGTCTACCCTTAATAAAACTACTCTGATTAGGAGAAACCAACCGAGGCAGCAGCTCCCTCAATCTTTCTGAAACAATTTTGGTAATGACTTTGTAAATTACATTACAAAGGCTAATAGGACGAAAGTCCTTCATACTCTCAGGGCATTCCTTCTTGGGGACCAGACAAATGTGATTTTTATTTATTTCCCTCACTTTAGTAGGGTCAAGGAAGGCTTCCTGAACCAACTTGCAAACTGATTCCTCAATAGTAATCCATTGACTTTGAAAGAAGATTGCATGCAAACCATTAGGACCATCGGCTTTAAACTTCCCCGTTTTGAAAATTGTCCTCCTAATCTTCTCCTTGCTAGGTCTTTGAGCCAGCATAGACATCTCATAGTTAGACAGACTAGGGAAAGCACCTTGGATTGGAAAGAAACCATCATCCAAATCCTCAGCTCTAAACAGATTCTGGTAATAATCAACAGCCATAACCACCAACTCTTCAGGATCAGCTATCCAGCACCCATTGGCATCTTTTAGAGTAATGATTCTATTGTGTCTTCTTCTAGCCACTGTAGAAGAATGGAAAATTTTTGTGTTCTCTTCTCCAAACTTTAGCCAGTGACATCGAGCTCTTTGATACTAGGACAATTCTTATTTAATAAGAATGGACTGAAGATCTCTCCAAAGATCCTCCTGGAGCAGCTCCATGTTATGGTCATATCTCCCATGTATATAGCTATCAAGCCCTCTCAATCTGGCATAGATCTTATTTTTCTGCTGAATACTCTTCTTAAAAACATGCTGATGTCAGTCTGTAACCTCTACTTCAAATTTATTTCTGGCCTAGACCCAATCGAAATTATTTTGCCAACTGTTCTTAACCAGGTCCCCAAAACCTTGAACAGTAAGCCAAGCTGCCAAGAATTTGAAAGTTCTGGAATGCTCACCTGGTCTAGGAGTAGCACTATGGGCTAGCAGTAAAGGCCTATGATCCGAATTAAAGAAGGGAAGATGGGAGATGAAACAATCAGGCCAAGATAGGTTCCAGGAATCATTCGAGCAAGCCCTGTCAATCCTTTCATGGAGTTTCCCTCTCTTCCAAGTGAACTCAGGGCCATTGTAACCCATGTCACTAACCTTGCAATTCAATAAACCCTGTTGCATATCTGACATACTTTCCCAACAAACCTCACCACCTCCAATCTTCTCAGATGTATGAAGAATAGGGTTGAAGTCCCCCATCAGGATCCAGAGATCAAGAATGGATTGGCTAAGAAGATCCAACTCCGACCAAAGAACTTTCCTCTCCATCCTCCGAGGACTACCATAGACAAAAGTAATGAGCTCAACCTTTGAAGGATTCAGGTGATGTACCTTAGTGTGCACAAATTGGTGATGGACTAAGAGAACCTCCAGTTTAATCAAATTGGAATCCCAAAGGATCCATATACCCCCTGAGTAACCTATAGACTCCTGTTTGAAGTAATTAGGATACCCAAATTGCTTGATAATGTCATCACCCTTAGGACCAGTTATTCTAGTCTCTAACAGGACCAAAATGTCAATTCTAAATCTGAACTTTAAATCTCTGATAAGGGTAGCAAAACCTTTTTTGCCTACCCCTCTACAATTCCATACACAAATAGACATAAAAACAACTATAATAAAAAGGACCAGGGTAAAAATCCCAGCAAGAACTTACTCAAAGTTGAGTTGGATTAGTGCCCCCTGAGTGAGGACTAGAACTGCTGACACCTTGTTATTCTGGATCTGAGGAGAAACATTAGAAGGGTCACAATCCATTACTCATTTCCCTCTTTTACCCTCCTGGTTAGGCACCCCATCATATTTCTCTCTAGGATCAAAGTTAGGTTTCCCTTTCTCTCTCAGTTTGCTAGCTGCTTTGTAGGGACCCTCCAAAACAGTATTTGGGGACTTGTTTTCAACACCTCCTTTCTTTTTCAAAGGACTAGTGGGACCCCTTCTTTTCTCCTTTCCTTCCTTATTAGGTACTCTTCTGGTCTTGCTCTCAACCACCTTAGATTTCCTCAAGTTCCCAAGATTTCTGGGATTAGACCTATCCCCCAATGGGCTTTGATTTTTACTATTCACCTTAGGTGGGTCCCCTATCTCCATAGCTTCTGGTTCCTGGCCCTGGTTGCTAACCTGCTCAGCCTCTAAACAACTGACAATATTCTCAGCACCAGTTGCAACCTTTTTAACCTCAGTTAGAGCCACCTTATTCACACCTGATGTGCCTTCTCCCACATCCTCATTCTTTACCCTCGTTGGAACAGCCTTTAGCTTCCTACCTTTGGATTGTCGTTGCATTACCATCCAGTCACCAAAAGCCTCCGTCTGCTTCACTTTTACTTTGGTGTGTTCCTGATTATGGTGCCTTGTATTATCAAGACACTGTCATGCCTGAGCCTTTTGTTCCTCCTTAAGAGCAATATCAGAACAAAGGTCTTTTTTGTGTCCATAAACTCCACATTTGAAGCAAATTAAGTGAAGGCCTTCGTATCCCACCTGTAAGTTTTGTCTCCGATTTTAAATTTCGATAGAAAACTCTTTCTTAGGTCCACTTCCACACATATATGGGAAAAACGAGCTCTCTCAGTGATGACTTCCAAACCATAATCACTCTTACGCAGAGAGTTCCTATCCACCTTTAAAGTTCTCCCAAAAAAGTTACCAATCTTCCAGAGGTGGTGGGCTGTGTAAAGCTCAATGGGTAGCCCAGGAATTCTTGTCCACACCGCCAACTTCTTGAATTGATCATCATATGGATCGAAAAATGGCCTCCATCTCTGAACCACAACATAGTGGTCATTCACGATCCAAGGTCCTTCCTCTAGAACATGACGGTAATCATTGTCATCTAAAAACCTCAGCAACAGATATCCATTGTCTAGATCTATTAACTCAAAAGATCTAGTCAGGTTCCATAGCCTCTGGAGTCTAGCCATCAGGAATCTAGTAGCAATCCATCTTCCTAGCAGCTTGATAATCAGAGCCTTTCGCCATGGTTTGCAGTCTTCTTTGTGCTGGGCCTTCGATATGTGATAGGCCGGACAGAGAGGTTCATCCGAAGGATCTTGAGGGCACTCATCCATGAGGTCATCCTCTTCTTCCTCTCGCTTTTGTCTAGACAACCAGTCTTTCTCTTCACTATCCGAGAATCCTCCTCCATTCAGCTTCAGTAGTTTATCTCTGTAAGACACCATCCTACTTCGTGAGCTACTGTTAGCTCCCCCAACTTCCTTCTCAGCATGCATGGTGTGAATAAGGGTTAGATCATCCCCCCCTCACCTTTCTCCATCATCGGATCATCCGTAACCAGAGCCTCCAACAACTCTCCCTTCGGTTTCTTGCCACTTCGAAGGTCTACCTCTTCCTCTAATGGTAGTCTCTCTACTCCCCTTCCCTACATCGACCTCTTGGGAAGCTTGATTCAACATCACTTCATCCTCCATAAGTATCAATCCCTCAGAATTAAAAGAAAATCAGAGAAAATTTCCAGAACGAGTACCAGAACCCTAGCAAAGAAGAAAAATTGCGTGCGTAGATCTACGCGCCTAACCCATCCCGTTTTGGTAGCACATTGAGAGTCATAAGTTATGAAACGGGTGGAAAGACTTAAATCCTAAATTGAAATAATCGATTACATTAGGAATTCAAATGCCATGACAGTGGGTTTCTTAAAAAAAATAAAATCTTTTTTATTTAAAAAAGTACTTATAATTTTAAAACATTTTAGTAAAGACATTTTTAGTATCACCTTCCAATAACACTTTTTTCATTTCCACGGGGGAGGCTTCCATTGGCAGCTAGAAGTTCACCATCGCATCTCCATTGCCCTTAACTTCAACGGATCTTCCAGCAAGAAAGTTTTCTTCAGAGTCTCCAAGACCACTCCGATGCATCGATGCTGATTTTCACACAATTTGGGGTGTGCTGAAATTATCCAATTTAATTATGGTATAAAAAAAAGACAATAAAGACTAAATTAATTTGATTTATTATAATATGATACAAACTGTACAGCATTAATCGTTATTTTTTGGTAATTCGTGTTAATACTTATTTATATTAAATATTACTCTTCAATTTTTAATTAAATAAATATATTATAAATTATAAGAAAATAAAGAAATTATATAAGATATTCTAAATTATTATAAAATACAATGAATATATTATAATATTTTTTTATTAAAATACAATGAATATATTATAATTTTTTTTTATATATTTTAACACTTCATCTCAAAATAAAACTTACTAAGCTTTCATCACAGTAAATTGAAATAAAAAAATTTAAACAAATATCGATAGCATTGGTGCTAGTGGTAATCGGATCAAAACAATAAAAAAATATTACTACAAAAAGAAAAGGAGAAAAAATAATTTTGAATAATTTTGAATAATTTTTAAAAATTGAAAATAAAATTAAAAAATTCCAGAAGCTCTAACTAGTGAAGGACATCCTACATGCAATGGCGGAGCCAGGCTCTAATTTGAGACTCGGTCAAAAAATTATGTGTATTTTTTTAATTTTAGTTAATTCATATCATAATATATTTAAATTATATTAAATACAGAGCACCTCAGCAGGTAACACCAAGAAGAGTTATAATTTTATTAAATATTTTTTAATTTTACTAAAAATATTTTATTTTTTTATACAAGTAAAAATTGAACACATAACCTAATACAACTTATCCAAATCTTTCACCAAAAATATTTTAAGTTTTATTTACAAATTGTAGGCCGGGTCAAATTATAATTTTAACCCGAGCCAAATTATAATTAATTAAATAATTATATATAATAAATATAATTTGTTAAAATTTAGCTCAGATTGAAGCTACACCTAAGTTACATGTGGCTCCGCCACTGCCTACATACTAATGGATTTTGACGTTGACAAGAAGAAGAATGAAGATCTCAAATGGAAGCCATGAAGATCCAAGACATGTTAAATAGGTTAGATTTTTGTAACACTTTTTATATCACAAATGTTATATCCTAAGCTCCATTACATGCATTTCATATTAAAAAAAATAAAGTTTTTTAAAGATAAAAACTGTTTCATATTAAAAATCAGTTTTACCATACCAAAAAAAAAATCAGTTTTAAAAATTAAAATCTAAATCATTTAAATAAACAGGTTTTAAAAAATAAAAACTAAATAAAAAATGAAATGTAATCAGTTTTAATAAATATAAAAAAAAAAACTGACCACCTACTTTTTTTTTTTTTTTGTTGAATGACCACCTAGTTTTTAAAAAGAGCCTTTTCTCCATCGGGTAATCAATTAGAAATACAATATATATATATATATATATATATATATATATATATATATATATTCGAATGCTGATAAATTATCTATATTGAGCCCAAAATGATATTATTTTGAGACGAAAATTAAAGTGTTTTTGTAATTATAATTTATTCCAAGGTTATAACAATCTTTATCATTCTAATTTTTTAATCTTTCAATCCGAAACAACGTCGTTTTGGGAGTGAATGTAGATAACTTATCTCAAGTCACTTAAGATAACCTTATCTCCAGTCATCCCAAAACTACGTCGTTTTGGGTGTTGGGAGAATTAATGAAGGATGTTTTGATAAAATTCACATAATAAATAGGGATTGGATATTGTAACCACCAAATAATGTTACTACCATATCTTAACCGTTGATTTCCGTTATTAATCGAATAAATGATAATCGTTGATTAGCGGAAATCAACGGTTAAGATATGGTAGTAACATTATTTGGTTGTTACAATATCCTATCTCAAATAGATAAACAAATAAAAATACCAAAACATCCTTTATTAATTCTCCTAACACCCAAAACGATGTAGTTTTGGGTTGGCCGAAATAAGATTACTTCAAGTGACTTGAGAAATATTTATCTCTCTATATATATATATATAAGTAAAAGTAAAAAGGGTATGAAAAAAAAAAGATGGAGAAAGGTAAAAAAGATAAAGGAAAAGAAGGGGGAAATAAGGGAAGGGGGAGATGATGAGAAAAAATGACTCAAAAGGGACCATCTGGAATATAGAAATAAAAACTGTCTAATCATCCACCATTCTTATAGCCTTTTTCCATTTCGTCCTAAGACACACCGCCCGCTAATATATATCTCCTTCCATCAAGTCTGGTTTTACTACTTTTCTCAAGTAAGTTTCGATTTACTTCTACCTCTTTTTGTGTCGAGCTCTTGGTAACAAACTTTTGTTCTTACGAGAACACCCATTGGCCTTCTCATTATTTGTCCAAACTATTTATGTTCTCTCATCCTTTCAGCCACCCGATACTACTTTTATCTTTAGTCAAATTTCTTTGTTTCCTATTTTATCCATATATGTATAATTCACCTTAATATCCTTAATTTTGCTATTACTTCCATGCTCACGTTGACTATGTGCTCACCAACATTGAACTTCGTAATGGGTCAATCTTTAGTAAATAATAAAAAAGCAAAAGGCATTGGGCCCAATTTGATAATACGAGGCAGCACTGTTCGCTCACATCAAAACTTATCGTCATATTTACTTTGATTCGGCTCTTCTTGTGTTCCCACGCATCATTGACGAAACTATTCACAAATCCATCTTCTTCGACATGCACAAATAAAAAACATAGACCTCATTTTTCAATTCTCTTTTGATAACCGTTTGAAACGTGATACAAGAAAATGTTGGTTCTCAAGTTTTCTTCAAAATACGCTGGTTCTTTATTTTTCTTCAAGAAACGCCGGTTCTCATTTTCTTCAAGATACACCGGTTCTTCATTTGAGATCAAATCCATGAATGGGTGAAAAAAAATCAGGTTCAGAAAACTTACTCTTTGCCTCTTCAAATCTGAATTTTAGGTATTTTACGGTATATTCTAAAACTTGAATTTCTTGCATTGACTTATTGATTTAGATATTTATTGTGAGATATCCAATTTTTTTAATATTATAATTTTAAGGATTTTGTTACATTTTGTGTTTTCTTGAATCATTGCATATGACATAAATCTTGGAGCTTAGTTTGTGCTTTATTGTGATATTAGTGTGATATGACACTATAACTGTTGATATTATGTTATGTAAAATTTTGGATATTGTATTGTGTGTTAAAGTGAAGTGTTTGACTATGTGAAAAATCTGTCCTAAGTGTGTGTTGGGTGCAATCGAGTAGGTTGGCGACCCTTGCTTGGCTTGAGATTGTTTCTCAATGCTTGGAGCCTAAAGAATCCACTCAGGAGTGTGGAGTGCTCGTGAAAGAGGAGTTTGTGAGCTCCTATGTTCGACTTGAAATAATATGGAGCAGTGTAGGTATTAGAATTTTTTTTGATATTTTGATTGATTGTTTGTGTTGAGTGTTTGTAAAACTCTACTTTTGTGATCAATAAAATATCTGCGGCTACTTCAGTCTAGATGTAGCATCCCATTGCACTAAGAGATGTGAACCAGGATATATCGTGTGTCTTTCTCTCTAATTGATTTAAATTCTGAATTTCTTCGTAGAGATTGAAAATAATATTATCTGGTTGAAAGTATTGTACCAATTTTTCTGTGGATATAATAGTGTTATAGCAGTTATCTGTTGTATTAAAAATTGTTGTAGCAGGTTACCTATTCTATTTAGTTGGATTTAAGTGCGGCTGAAAATTATCTCCGTTTTTCTAATTTCTGGATGTTAATTGATTTCTATTTTGTTAACAAAGTTAAGTTGCGTTTGTACTCTATATTAAAAATGTCAGGTACATTTTTGTTGATATATATCATACAGAAATTAATAGGGCAGACCTAAAGTAAAACAGTAAAATTATTATAACTGTGTGACTGTTATCTTAATTGAATTTGCAAAATTATTTGAGAACAGTCAATCTAATTGTGTTAATGTGTTGTTTGAACTAATAAGTTCAACTTTGTCTATATATATCAATTTTAAAGATGTACTTGTAAAAAAAGAATTTAAAAAAATTTGGAAACACATATCCCCCTCCTCTCTAGGTATTCTACTCATCCTAAGTAAAGATGCCACTTGTCCAACAACTAGATCGTCCAAGAAACAAAAATAAAAATATATTATGATATCTTCATTATACTTAAAATAAAAATGTTACAAAGCAAGGATAATTAGAACTTTAACTAACAATCAAGTCATACAACTAACCAATACACTTATCTTTTTGAGATGAGTTATGCGCGGTAGGGGTGTTCAAAATATCCAAAAGAATCCAACCGATCTATAACCAAACTGCTC